TAAATATATTTTTTGTATTAAACAAACGTCATGTTATTAGATAAAGCCATCTTACTAAATTTTTACCTTGCAAACGTGTTATAATTATATAATATATTCATGAATAGCTTAAATATTGTCTTTAATGAATGTTAGTAGCAAATGCTTCTTTATATTGTTGTATACGTTGGTACGTTCTCTCGCAATGTATACTCGGTTACAAGGTGTACACTGTAATATACTCCCACACATACAGACATGTACAGTTTGTAATTATTAATGTAATAATTGTATAGCTAAACAAAATATTGATTCTAAAAATGTAAATATGTAATATATTAAATATAATAAAATTTTCTAAGCGCTACACCAGTTGTCATTCCCAAAAATTTAACATTCTAAGACTGACTTGATGACTCATTTTTTGGTTCCATTAAATATTGTACATTTAAACTTTAAAAATTATGGATAGCTAATACTTCTTAGATAATATTTTCATACGATAGAAATTCAATTATTAACATTAAGAATTTATTGATAAAAAAAAAGAAGAATATTTTATTTTACCAGTTGTCCTTTTTTAGTTGTTGACTAAAAATATACTTTAAATTTACTACTGTGTTTTTAATTAACTATTTATAATATATAATATTATATACTACATTATACTGAAAGTAGCCATATATTTTTTACCGATGATGTCAAAGAACGGATTAAATAATATTGAATAAATACTATAAAAATATAAAATATTTACTTCAGTAACTACATGAGAATTAAATCATTAATCGTATCATATAATAGTCAAATAGCAATTATACTTGTAAGTATCTGGTAAATTACTGGTAAATATGAAAATAATATGTGGTCATAGCATACATTTCCACTGTTGAATGTGAATTATAAATTTTATTACTAAAATAATAATTTATAAATAGGTATATTTTCCTTTTACATTTTTGGGAATTTTGTCTGTAATCTTTATGAATTCCAATAGTTTGAAGCTAATTACAATTTTTTTTGTGCATTTTAGTGCATATTTAATGGTGTTTATTGCATATTTCTACATATTTTTACAAAATTCAAAATGTATTACATATTGAAGAGAAGGAACATTTAAAAAATATACTTAAAATAATATTATGTTGTCAAGTATTCAATTTAACAGTACATTTTGTAGGCACTAACTTATTAACTTATTAACTTATTCATTTTGATAATATTAAATTATAAATTACACAATTTGTTGCTTATTAGGTAGATACTTATTTATACCTATTTTTTAAAATTATTTTTGTGTCATACATTTATAAAATATTAAATTGTGAATTTTTAACCATATTATTAAATTATTTAAATTATTTTTCTTGCATATTGTTGCATATTTTCACAATTTTGACTACACATTAAATTGCATGTGTTGACACTTTTTAGTGCATAGAAATATGCACTCTACTCATGTTCAATCTACTCAATAGAACCCCAGATATAGGTAAAATAATAAATATTTGTTTATTTATTTATCAGGAGTTATAAGCGTTCAAAAAATAAATACACTTCACTTCGCATTATATATAATGAACTTTAATCCAATAATTATAATTTATATCATAAATTATATAAATAATATATCTTTTAAAAATGTATTTTATAATTTAATTTTTATTCCAATTTAGACTTGTACCTTGGCAAAGCTTATTAGTGTTCATGTCGGATCATTTTTATCACATAAAATAACAATGCAAAGGTATATACTCTGTTCAAAATAAGAAACCTAGACAGCGGCCAGCTACTGCGCAGGGGCGTGGCTAGTATTGGACCACAGTGGCAGTCTGAAACAGGATTTTGAGCCAGGCGCTATGGCAGGAATTCAATAAATATTACTATGCATAAGCATCTGAGATTGTTCGTTCCACAGTCAGGCTATTTGAAGGAAAATGGGGAGTCTTGGTAATTTTATATTATGTATAACACATATTATAACAATATTTTCAAATTTATCTATAAAAAAACTATTTTGTTAATTTTACAGGTATAACTGAGTTGTACACAAGAGATATGTGTATAATGTGTATAGTGAGCATATAATAATGGCATTTCCATTAATACCGGAAATATCGTCATTAGAAATAACACCGGTCTCTAATGACCTCCTTGCAGATTCATTGAACTGTGGCATGGTTTGATTTTTCTTTTGCTGTGAAATTTTTGAAATAGAACGATAATTTTGAAATTGAAATATTTTCAATATTATAAAATGACATGGATAACAGGTGATTAAAATATGTTTTGTATTTACTAATTATTATATTAATTTTTATTTAGTTACTAAAAGTAGTTAATTCTTTATTAGGTGTTTATTCAAATATGTTATTTGTGAGTGACCCTGTTTGTAGAACAAATAATGTTCTGGAAGTAAGTCATCAAGACCTAAGATGTACATTAGAAACAATCATAAACCGGAGCCATGGGTATATCTAAGTAATATACTAACTTCACAAGTTTTAAAATTGTTAAAAATAAGTAATGTAAATAATGTTACATCTAAGTAATTTATATTCTGAATAATTATTTCAAACTATTCTTTAAATTCCAAAGTCTTTTTTAATCATTCCCCGAAACCTGCAAAAATATGTTCAAAATAAAATGTTGTGCAATGGCGTGTCCTAGAGTGTAAATTTGTTTTATTACATTTAGTTTAGAAGAACATCTATTATAATTTGTAGGATAATATGCAATATACGAGGTGTTGGGCAATTCCGAGCGGAGTTTGGTGGCTAATGAAAAGCTTGAAAATACAAAACCAAAAAAATTGGAACTGAAAATATCCTAATTTAAAATTACTTATTAAATTGCTTAAACTAAATTTATATTTAATGATATATTAATTTATAAAATCAAATGTGGTGTAGGCCCTTTTAACAATTTGAATTTTATAAACGCCCTTTTAATTTTATAAAACATTTGAAATATATATAATTTTATATACATTGTACTACATTGTATCAATTAACTTGTTGGTTTATTGTTAACTGATAATATCAAATTGGAGGGAAATTTTTTATTAAGTGTTATCAATACAAGTGATGTTCAGTGTGTAGGTAACCTAGTAAAACCACTTTCTTCAATTTGGTAATATACAAACAGCAATAATCATAATTGTTGAAAACTGTATAGGTTATAAACAATTAGCAAGCGTTCTGTGTAGATTATTTTAATTTTTAAAAGGGCGTCTGGATATCTTGTATTCGGTATTTCTATCTTATTTTTCCGTAGATGTATACGCCGTATTACCAAAATATTTTCGTGATTTTTTTGGAAATGTTGATACCAAAAACGTATTTTTCGATTTTACGCCCTTTTAACAAAAACCGTATATATTGATTTGTATTTCGATTAGATTTTTAAGCCCTTCAATAAGGCATCTAAGAAGTATTCAAGGATATTTAATTTAAATCCTGGTTAAAAATGTCTTATACAATTTAGAAATTGTAATTTGTTGTACAATGTAAATAAATTATATGCATTACATATTTATAGAGAGTTTGAATTATCATATTTTCTGTATTCAATAGAACACCTAAAATATGATGCTAATATTCTCTAAAAAACCTTCAAATATTCTCATAATATTCTCTTAAAAATTTCAGAAATATGCTATAAAATATGCAAATATAAACAAAAATAATCAATAAACATCATTATATACTTTAATATGCATTAAAAAAAATTGTTTTTTCAACCTTATTTTAATATTAAAAGTTGCGTATTCTAATGGAGTACTTTTGCATTTTAGTAAGAGTTGGAAATTATATAAAAAAAATTTTTTAAATGTTCAATAAAATTTTTTCTCTGTACCATAATATTAAAATTAAAAATAAATACAAATTCTTGCTCACAATTTACGAAATATTCCAAAATATGCTAAATGGGTTAAACCATGAAATATTCTCAAATATGCAAATAAAACTTTTTTCTACGCATTCAGAATTGATTGAATCGTTCACATTTTTTACTCTCATAAGACTGCATGGACCCAGTAACGATATGTAAAAACATATAAATCCGGTCTTTAATCATAACCCACAACTTTAAGCTTTCTATTTTACATTATCGTCTTTAAGCTAGGTAATATAGTACCTAGCTAAAATGTACAAGTTATTTCTTGCCTAACTATAAAACACATTAAATTCATTATTTTAATAAGACAATATTGATATATAATAAAATGCAATTTTACAACAAAACTGTAAAAGGTAGGTATTACCTTTTGGTTTTATGTTGTTTAGTGTTGTTATGAAAAAAAAATGTATATACCCATAATGATATTTTAATAGCAAATTGCAATTAAGTTAATAATTTTTAGTGCATAAAAAATTATTGAATTAATTCTAATTGTAAATTGCCTGTTAGTCTAGGCGATTTGGCTGCACAAGTCTATACTTACAAATTACAAAATGCTATTTAAGAAATGTTTGTTGTTTTGAGTATTAAATTTTTTTTTTTTTAAGATACCTTACATGCAGCAGAAGAAGCTACGGAAGTTTTTCCACTGGGAAAATGCGAACAAAAGTGTGTTCGACAATACTATTGTCCAGGCAACTAGGTCATAATCATGAGCAACAGCCGAGACATGCCTAACTAACTTGTGTAACACTAATGGAAACCCAAGGTATCTTGTAAGAATGGTGAGTTGATGGTAAATTTATCCTCTATTTTAGCTAAAAACAACTTAACAGTTTGTGCTTGCATGACCAGAAGTATTGTACCTCTTAATGTTATCTTATACTCTTCTGACTTTCTCTCTTAGCCAGTAGTCTAATATTTTATATTTCATACCTATGGCTATGTCATCAAATTTGCTAACTAAGAATCCTTTTTGGACCTTTTTAATACTTAAATTCTGTTTAAATATTATATATTATAATGTACTATTTATTTACTTTTGAGATCCAACTCATTTTACATACTACTAAAATAAAAACAAAAAAATTTGATAAAATTTAAATTTTGTTAAGATTATGGCATTGCCACACTTGCCAGCAAATTCAATTGAACACCACCAAAAAAGATTTTTCATGCAGTTGGGCTTCAGATTTATTCAGGATTTAGGTTTGTTGCTTCTTTTCTAAAGAAAAATATAAACAAAACGTCTTGTTAGACTATAAGTCTCATAAACAATTTATACATTTATAGTAACGGACTATGAGCTGGAAGCAGAAATAGACGTGTTGTTGGGGTACTTTAAGCGATTTTGGTTGAATGTTGTAGGTCCATGGAATTTTGCGGTGTATCGCTTAAGGTACCATACCGACAATTTCATAGAATCCTACCATGCTACATTAGTCAGACTCATGGGTCAACATCCGCCACTGTATTAGTTTTATGGTGAGTTTGTATCTACATTTGTCTAATAATCATTCAATTTATTGTTTTTCATATTTTATTTTATTAATCTAATTCAATCTATAATATGTTATTAAAAGTATTGTATATTTCAGAATATTTAAAAGGCATAGAGCAACAGTCGAGAGCTGACTAGATTAGTGAATGGACAACCAGTAAGGCGTGTAGAGTATAGGGGCAATACACAACCGAGAAATTACATTATTATTAACAGTGCTTGGAAGAGATATGAGAATGGAATTTACAATTTGGAAGATTTTATTAGAAACGTTTCTCATACTACCAAGCAGTTGTTAAGAAATGAAATTGGAGAGCCAAATTTCAAAGAACGTCGTAAGTTAACTATAAAAGAAAAAATAACAATAATATTTAAAAATAAATACCTACTATAAAATATATGATTATTTTAGCTGTTGTATTACATGATGCACCAATTCCACCATTGGCACCACCTCCTGTATTAGCAACCCGACCACTACCTCAAATCCAAGCCACGGCTCCAATAGGAGTTACAAGTACAGGATGGACAGCAGTGATTAAGTGTAAGGACACGTTGAGAAGAATTTTTCAAGTAATTGAAGATGAAGGTAATAATGTTTATACAAATTTAATGTTTTTATTTAAATTATGAATTGTATTTAATACTTCATAGTTATTCATAATTTGTTTTTATTTTTAGTTCATGAACAAGATGACTGAATAATTTCTTTTGATCGACCCAGCACAGTTACATAAATTCCTTGCAGACATACATTTTGTAATGTCTGTGTCACTAGGCCTGTGCCCGATGAAAATACAACATGCCCACTCTGTAGGGGTATAATTCGGTTGTTCTTAAATTATGACCATCCCATATAAATATTTGGTTTAGTTTTATTTAATTTACGTTTGTTATGTATTAAGTTTTTTAAAGTGTTCATAGATAATTTTATTTTATTTTAATAAGTGCCTCCTACCTGTATTAAGGGATTAAGTCTGTTAATTCATAATTTGTCTTATATTTCAAATTGTTAAGTCACCTTATTTATATTTTGTTTTATTTTATTAAAACTGTTTATATTAAATTATATAGGTAACTGTAAACTGAATATTATTTTATTGTTTCATTGAAATTAATTATCAGCTACATACTATAAATAGTTATTTATCGCAGTTGAGAGTCGCAAAAATGATTCGTCCATACCACAATGTAAAAACTGCCAACGCTTCCAACACACAAAAAATATATGTTATCTTCCCCCTAGATGCGTTAAATGCCTAGAAAACCACCATTATTCCGAATGCACCAAAGATACAAACACACCACCAGTATGCATCAATTGCAATGAAAATCATCCCACTAATTACCGAGGTTGCAAAATATATAAGCAAATTAAAATTAAAAATTCCTACAAACGTTTCGTGAACGCTCGTAAACACATAATGCTATGGAGCAGTTTAAATGATAACAATAATACCAAAACCCTAGCCAATACCGTCGATCACATAAATCCCCAAAATTAAGACCCAATGGCCAATCCAAATAACTCCAAACTCAATCAACACTCTAACCTACGCCAAAAAAAACCAATTATCACCAAAAAGAAGAAATTAACAACTCAAATATCACCAACTAGCTTATAAAGTCATTATTGCCATTAATCAGCAAACTCATCTCATAAATTATAAAAAAAGTTATCAAAAATCTACCAGCTCTATTAAATAATATCAATGTTGTCTCATAATATAAATAATATTAAGCTAGTTATCATAAATTGGAATGCCAATGGAATTAAACAAAATCTTAACACATTTGCAACGTTCTTATTAGCACATAATTTCGATATCGCTTGCGAAACACGTCTAATTGCAAGTAAGAAAATTAAATTTAATGGGTACACCACTTATCGCAAAGATAGGCTATCAGGTGGTGTCGCTATAATAATTAAAACAAAAATTAAACATCATCAAACTTATCTACCTGACTACCTACTTTGCAAACTCTTGAAGCAGTAGCAATATCTATTTCGATAAATCACTGAATCACAACAATAATTAGCTCTTACCTAGCTTTCAAGTGTACACTAATGACTTACACAAAATATTAAATAGCTATCAAAGAACTTTGCTAGTAGGTGACCTTAACTGCAAATACACAACCTTTCTACTGCAAGGCTACAAATGCAAAAGGATGTAAGTGTGATTTTAATACAATAATTGTGTGAATCATATGCTTGACCCCCAGATACAAATACTACAATTAACAATGGATTGTATAAGGGATAGAAATAGTAAGCGATTAATGTAAATATTAAATAAGAACCTGGCATCATGAAATAAAAAGAAAACAGTATTAGTTAAATTATGTATATGAGTGACCCATTTTAATTTACTGTCAATGGTTAGACCTAAGTATTTTATAACATATAAAGTTCATTTTATTTTGTTATTTATTGGATTATTTGTTTTAATTGTTTACCTATGAAACCTATTTTTTTTTTTAAGTTTTAAAAGCACTTAACCGTTATGATATAAAACTCGATGAAGACTTTTATGTAATACATTTTGATGTTGTATAATATGGTTAGGTATTACACTTATTAATTTTTAGTAAAAAGTATTTATATTTTTTTTGAGGTTGAGGACTGTGAATGAAAGATAATTTTTTTCAAATAATTATTATTTTGTAGCGTGTACGCGGTACGCCAAGACACCTGACGAAGCACATTCCCGAAGGACCACTCGACGAATAATCGAGACCAAAAAGTTGATTGTAAATGTTTATGTCGCCTGTTATAACTTGGGTAGGCAACCTAATGTATACGACGACAACGCTCACCTCAGAATAGGAACTGGTGGTGAGGTGTTGAGGGGAACAGGATGATAGAGTTTAGTTATTGGGATGGGGGGGTCTCCGTAGTCGGTTCGGCCCGGTGCAATGACCACAGAGCTCACATGAGTTGGCTAAACCTTAATAAATAAACTTAAAAACTAGTGAAACCTTGAAGTTGACCCGGACAGCCTGCCCGCAGTGAGACTCCCGTCGGACGTGGATTCCGAAGACCTGGGCGGCCTCCCACACACTACGTCGAGTGCTGGCGGACTTACGCAGGAGTAGGTGGCACTTGATAACGGTGAGGCTCATAGTGTAAGTATAAGCCGCCGGATCAGGTCACCCACGGATGACAATATAGTCCAGTCAAATTAGATCAAAAATCAACAAAGATCGGAAAAAATTCGCCCCCAACTGAATTTTGGTACACACTTAAAATGTACCTTCCCAATTGACATACTAAAAGTCCTGACGCCTAACCCCTTTGCTTATCTCTCCACCCCCCAAAAAAGGGGTGAAATCTACCCTCCCACTATTTTTCTTATAACTCGTTAACCATTGACCTTACGATAAAAAAGTATAGGACCAAAATTAAAGACCGTAAAATTTACTATAAGAATATAATATTGTAATCACTACAATTTTACCGTGGTAGTTTTAAGTAAACTTTTTTTTTAAAAAAACTGAATTTTTTTTTTACATTTTTTTTTACATTTTTTTTCAGCCAAAATTTATAGTTTTAAACCAAAATGACCTAGAAGAAAAATGATAGCCCTTTGTTTTTACATAATATACTTTTTTTTATTTTTTTTTATATTCATTACCATAAGATTTAAGGTGGTTGTTATGTACGATGCGGCGGTGTTATATCTGTACGGTTGATAATATACGAACCAAGTTCGAACATAATGTAAAAATTCACCGAAAGCTGAATATTGGCATACACCTACTATATACTTCATTAATGATCATACTTAAAGTTCTGACGCTTACCCTTCGTGCTTACCCTTCTAACCCCCCCCCCCCCCCGCATTCAAAAGGGTGATTTTACAATGCTTTTACTTATCAATCACTATCCTTGGAACTGACGACCAAAATATATAGAACTAAAATTAAAGACTATTACATTTACGATTTACCATAATATTATAATATTTTGCATACTTAAATGTTTACAAGATAAGTTCAGACAGTTCAGTTATAAATACAACTTTTATGAAATGTCTTTACAGTTACAATATGTTTATTTACAATATTATTATTTATTAGATTATTATACTAGTAGCTAGGTACCATATTATTTACACTAAGTACCTACCAACATTTTTATTTTATTTGGTTCCGGGTGAATGTTGTTTTGTCTGTAACCGAAAAAAAAATTGAACGTTATTTAGTATTATAGTTTACAATTATTATATATATAAATTTAAAGTAAATTCATACCTAATTAATTAAGTGGTGCAGTTTTGCACAGCTGTCTTTTTGCATATGTGTGTCTATATACCCATTTCTTCATCGGGTTATTCGTTGTCTTCGTCTATGCTAGTGGTCCATTGTCCATCTTTATACAACTCCACGTCGTCGTCGTCGTCATCATCACAAATTAGTTGCTGGTTTAAACACGATGTGCCTTGACAATTTTTACATACCTATTATGGAACATCGCATTCCCGCTTTTTTACAGCCACAATTTTTCTCGCATGATTCATTGCAAGCACAACTTATAACCGATAGAAGGGAGTCTGTTGCTGGTGGTTTCTTTGTAAAGATCGGTATTATTTTTTTATCTACTTTTTCCCAGCCCCAGTCTAACGGATTAAGTATTTTCCCACGCCAAAGTTGTACTTGTAAGTAAACCCTAAACAAATGCTGCTTTGCTAAATCGACTGTTGGAGGGAGTCGAGAAAGTTTGACTTCTTTTTTGCTGGAAGCCCCTGTTTTTCGGAATACATCATACCTGTGACAATTCAATGTATTAGTGTTTGCTGGTGCTTTAAATAATTTTAACAAGTACTTTTCTCCCGCACGCAAAATTTCCTCATGTGTAGCTGATTCATTGTTAAAAACTAATAATGAATCGTGTAGTTCTGGATGTGCTTGAACTGTTTTTAAATGTTTAATTTTCCCTTGTTGAAAGATAGCTGAAGTTGTATCACACCCACA